GTTAAAGTTTTTTCTAGTAAATATATATTTATTTTTAATAGGAATTTTTAAAGTGCTAGCTTTCCAACCTCAAGTTGTGGCTTCTTCTCTTAAATTACCTAGTCCTTGTGATTATGTTTGCCTAAAGTTATATTGCATAAACTCACTCTAAAATGCAAACATACAATATATGTCACAACAAGTATCCTCATTTGTAAAACATCTTATGAGATGTTTTTATGACTTGCCATTGAAATATAAGGCATTCATTTTAAAGAACATTAAAAAGTACAGTTTCTTTTACACTTCATTAAATAGACCTCAATGCAGACAAATATGCCTTTTAAAACTAAGACATTTTAAGAGTAGGGCTAGTCCAACTATTTTACTTGGAACTAATACATAGATTCATCAAATCCCCAAGCCCTGTGGAATTTTAATTAGCTACCTGCCAAGAGCCACAGATAGCATAATATAGCTGTATAGAGGAAATACCATCTGCCTCTGTGAACAAAAATCACTCTAGTATCGATGCCTATGGTTCCTCAGAGCTCTCTTGATATTGCCAATATTATACCCATGGTTAACCACAGTGAACTTCTCTGAATGTCCCCAACTGCAGAGACTATAGGGAAGCCAACAATGCAAAGATTCACCGATAACACTGATTATGTTGAGGGTGCATAGCACAGTTGACCACACTAAGACATCCATAAACAAATTCCCTAAATTGGCAGAAACTACTGAATTCTTGCCAGTTCCTGTGATAAACTAGACATCTAAGTTTTTCCAATTACTTTGTTTCTTCTTCTTTTCTAATCAAGGAAGCATGTAATATGAGCATCATTAATGCCAAGAAGAAACTTCCTATATCTCCCATTACCAAGGAAAAACCCCCAGAGGTGATATCAGATATATAAATGGAAATGAATTACAACTATGGAGATTGAGAGATTGTTATCATGTGGTGAAAATGTCCTTTCTCTTTGGCAACTAGTCACTCAAGCCATGTGACTTATGGGTAAGTTTTTTGTGGCCACCTCTTCGTTTAACATGGTCTTCTATAGAGTCCTGTATGCCTATAGCATCAATTCCAGCTTGAACCAGGTGAGTGACGGGCCATTATTGATTCTGACTCCTGCTCATCTTAACTTGCAGTCAGCAAGCCAGCAAGTTAAAATAGCATAGCAGAACGCATACATCACCTGGGTTTGAGTTATTAGTTGCACATCAGAATCTACCCTAGTTAGTTTAAGAAGGAAAGCATTAATTGCAGGATTTTAGAAAGTTTCCAAAGTGTTTGTAAGGGTCAGAGAAGCAAGCTCTAGACTAAGCTTCCAGGAAAAACATCCAGAACCACATATCACAGACTTGGTCATGTCATACTGACTCTGGCACAACTGGGAAGTTGCAACTATCACCACTGACCCAGCACATGCTGCTTTTGCTCTTGATTGTACCAATAGGATGGATCTCCATGTTGTATCTGTCTCTTCACATAACTCTTTAACTTTTGTTTCAGTAGCTTGATTATCATGCATCTCAGTATTATTTTCTTTGTATATATCCATCTCAGGGTTTGCTAAGCTTCTTGAAAATACATATGGATGTTGCTTGTCAAATCTGTGAAGTTCTTGGATGTGATTTCTTTCAATATTGCCTCTATTTCATTCTCTCACTCCTCCTGGGGCTTTAATTACATATATATTAAAACTGTTTGCCATGTTCCATATTTCTCTTATGTTCTCCATTCTGCTCTTCATTTTATTACTTTCTCTTTATATGTTTCAGTTGGAGTATTTTCTCTTAACCTGACTTCAAATTCATTAATTCTGTCTCCTGCTATGTCTAATCTGCTCTAAAAGCTCATCCAATGAGTTCTTAATTTCAGGTATTATATTTTACATTCATTTCTAGAATGTCTTTTTTGGGGGTCTTTTAACTACAGTATCTATATCACTTCTAAGTTTGTTTTATTCCTTGATTATCTGTTAGTTATTTTTTCCTGTTTCTTTGAACACTTGACCATTTTAATTGTGTGAATACAGGGCTCAACTTCACAGCTTTTCTTGTTTCAAGAATTTTATCTATGTACTTTTTGTCCAATGCCTGCAAATAATATTTTAAAAAAATATTTTGCTAAGTTTTTATAGATGTCTACCATATCAACTATTCATTATCACTGAAATTGGACCTCACAAAACTCTCTATTTTAAATTAAAGTATCATTTCCCATCAGATTTGTGAAACCTAAGTCCAAGTTTGTTCTCCATCAGGAAAGGAGCCTGAAGTCTATGGAGAAGGGAGATTGTGAAAGGAGTTGATGCTCTAAGAAATTATCAAAATGTGAAAAGTGTGTCCATATGGTATTTATTCAAAAAGTGTCTTCTACTCCATCACTATCTGATTCTTTAACTACTATGGCTTTTTGATTACATTAGCTGATCAGCTAGAGATGGGGCAAGAAACACAAAAGTAAGATGAAGTGGAGAAGAGTGGAAAAGTGCCTGGTCATTTTTTGTTCATGCCTAAAATGTACCTCAGTTTTATAGGTCACCAGGTTTTATTTTTAAAACCACATTTGAGTACATGTGTCCTGATGTTTATAGTAGCGTTATCAACAAGAGCCAAACTATGGAGAGAGCTCAAATGTCCATCAACTGATGAATGAATAAAGAAGATATGGGGTGTGTGTGTGTGTGTGTGTGTGTGTGTATACACACACATATATACATACACAATGCAGTATTACTCAGCCAATCAAAAAGAATGAAATCTTGCCATTTGCAATGATATGGATGGAGCTAGAGTGTATTATGCTAACTGAAATAAGTCAGTCAAAGAAAGACAAATATCTATGATCTCACTCATATGTGAAATTTAAGAAAAAAAAATGTGAACATATGGGGGGGGTGAGGGAGAGAGAGAAATAAACCATAAGGGACTCTTAATGATAGAGAACAAACTGAGGGTTGATGGAGGAAGGTGGGTGGGGAGATGGGATAGATGGGTGAAAGACATTAAAGAGGCACTTTTTGTGATAAGTACCAGTATTGTCTATAAGTGACAAACCACTGAATTCTACCCCAGAAACCAATACTGTACTGTATGTTAACTAAATAAAATTTAAATAAAATAACATAAAAATAAATTAAATAAAATAAAACCACATTTGAGATTTTAGCATATTCAATATTGACAATTAAGACTTAGACTTCATTTCTTAATGCTGTGCACATCCATATACTTGTTTCTATAGCTAGTTTTCTCAGGTAAAAAGAAGATAGTGAAAATAGTACTATATCAGAAGGTACTGAGAAGAAGAGGGAAAAAATGCCCAAGGCTTATTAAATATGTCACTTCAATAAAAGTTACTGAGTACCTACTATGTTCCAAGCACTAAAAAATCTGCAACAGTTGCAGGTAGTGGTGGGTTCAAACGGAAGGTGAAGGTATAAAGGAGTTGGAAGGGGTGTATGTTATACCAAGATGAATAAGATGGGGTTCCTGCTTGCATTTGTGAGGCGACATAGATTTCCCAGTGTGCCATAATCATTGTCAAGTCAGGGTTATGTACAAGGGGTAAGGGAGAACCAAGAATGGATTGAATCTGACCAAGGACTAAGGAAGACCAAGAAAGTCTTCTTGTAGCAAACATTTAAGCTGAATCTTGAAGATGAGTGAGACTTAGCCAGACAAAGGAAGCAGAGGCATTCTGGACAAAATCAACAATAGCAGGAGCAAAGGCACAGTCAGGAAACAAAAGGTTGTATACAGTGCAATGGCAGAGGTAGAGTGGAAGTGGATTACAAGGAGTTTGACGTTTCTAAATTGTAAAGTATGAGGTGGAGTGTGTCAAGAAAGGAGGCTGGAAAGGGAGCTGGAGTCCATGTTATTGAGGACCTGGAAAGCCATGGCAGGAAGTTTGGCCATTATTATAAGCAAAGGGTGCCACAGAGGTGTTATCATCAAGGGAGGGCATAACCCAAATTGCATTTTAGATATAGCATTCTGCCTACTGTTTAGGGGGAAAAGTTCAGAAGGGCAGGATTTGACCACCCAGCATGGATGCAGAGAAAGCCATTAGAGTACCACTGCAATAGTCCAGGAACAATGGCCAGGCCCAGGTTAAGAGAGAAAATTTCTAAAGCTGGTAAATAGCTATGGGGGTGAGAGAGTGGGAAGAGGAAGTTAAAATAAGTTTTCAGAAAAGAGTGTCAATTTATAGGAGGGAAACAAAAATTCCCATTTTGGACATAGACTTCAAGGTATCTATAGACTTTTAAGTTGATATAATCAGTATGTAGATGGATAAATGAGGTTCAAGAGAGAGCTGTTCAGAGATGGGAAAAAAGAGTGGGCATCTGGATGGCTTAGTCAGTTAAACGTCTGCCTTTAGCTCAGGTCATGATTCCAGGGTCCTGGGATCGAGTCCCACATCAGGCTCCCTGATCAGCAGGGAGCCCGCTTCTGCCACTCTCCTTGCTTGTACTCTCTCTCTTTCTCTTTCTCTCTCTGTCAAATAAATAAATAAGTACATAAATCTTAAAGCATATAAAGATAGGTAAAAACATAAGTGGGATTAGGAGCCAGTGAAGTACTGAGAGAAAAGGAAAGAGCAAGGACAGCAAGTGAGGAAACCAGGGTTTTAGGATGGTGCAGATGATGACAAATACACAGGCAGACTAAGATATGGCAAACAGAATAATATTTTAGAAGCTGAAACAATATTTTAGAACAAAGAGTACATGGTCAACAATGAGAAATGAAGCAGAGAGGTCTACTAGCCTAAGGATGGAAAAGCACTGACAGGATTAGGTAATTAATTGAGGTCACTGGTGACCTTGGGGAGAGGAGAGGATCTTGGTAGAGTAGGGAGGTCAGAAGTCCTGAGAAAATATAGATTATTCTTTCAAATGGTTGATTTCAAAGAAAAGGATAGAGATTAGGGACTACCTAGGAGCTAGAGGATGACTTCCGAGAAGAGAAGGTTTGATTTGAGTAAGAAAGACTTAACCAGGATCCTTTTGTAGTTCATAAGTGTGATGATTGGGTGTTCATGCGTCTCTGTGATATGTGCCACCCTGTAAACCTTGTTACGACCTCAGCACATTACCTGTCTAACATGAAAAAAAAAAAAAAGACTTAACCATATTTACAGGCTGGAAGAAATACTCATAGGATAAGAAAGAAAAATAATAATAAAAGGAGATAATCAGTAGAACCAAGTTCCTAAAGTTGTTAAATGGGTTAGAGACCCGAAGACTGGGGGAAGGACTGGATATGAGCACTTAGAAGGCATCACATCTTGCATCAGGAAGAGAGTGGGTGGACTAGCAGAAGACATAAGGACATAGGGTGCAGCAGAAATTAGGGATCTATTTCACAACTCCATGACTTCATTTTATTGATAAAATAGAGGCAGGTTGTCTCCTGGGGCTGGAAGGGGATGGTGTGTGGCATTAGGTTCCAGGTACTGAAAGGATTGGTGACCTTTTGAAATGGTCATTAAGAGAAATGGGGAGAACTGGAGAACAAAGGATAGGACTAAGGCCTCTCATGCGGCTTTGAGAGTCCAGGTAAACTTAGTAGCACTTGGCCACCCAACAAGGGTGCAGAGAAAGTAACTAAGACAGACCTGGGAATAAAGTTCCCCAGCCATGGTGTAAAAAAGCATGCTAAAAAATCAAGTGCACAGTTAACAGAGTGGCTTAGGCTGCATGCTGGGGAAGGGCTGGATTTTCGGGGGTCAAAGAGTGAGCTTTGTGGTAGCAGGAGAATGAGACTTCCATTTCCCTGCTTTCCTCACTGCTCTGGGAAGAGTCCTCTATTTGGTACAGCATCCATTACTGCTAGAAAACCAAAATAAAACACAGAAGGGGTGAAAGAGAGTGAGAAAACTCATTATTTCAAAATTCTTTTAACACTTTCCTTAAAAGGCATGAATCACATAAATCATCCCAAAAAATCCTTTTTAAATTCCAAGACTAAGAACAAAATTATGGTTAAATGTTTAATTAATGTTTATTATAGTTAGCATGTTAGTTTTAGAAAGGTCAAATTTATGATACAATGAAGTAATATTTTTCACATTCTGTGTGTCTATTTTATAGTGCATTGGGGCTCAAAGTATAATAAATATCTTCTATTTTTGCAAGATTCTTGTATGCAAAGCTGTGTAGGGCCAAGATAATATTGAATTTCAAGTCAAATGAGCTGGCATGAACCTTAAGCAAGTCACTTTATCTTTCAGGACTTCAGCTTTTAGACTTGTAAAATGAAGGATGGGGATAAATCTCCAAGTTTCCATCCAGGTTAAAAAAAAAAAAGAGCATAATTTAGTATTTTAAATTACTTAGAATTGATAGGATTACTTTTTTTCCTTTATGATATACTTTTGTTTCTAGCTACAACTTATTGAGCCTCAGTCCCTGACCAGGAACACAAACTCCAATGATAATACCATCTCTATGGGAAATAGAACATATTTTGCATCACAATTTAGTTTATGTTCTACCATTCTCTGCTCATATTTACTCTTTGGAGGCTTCATCTCCAAAAGTTCAGAGACATTTGTTCACCATCTTGTGACCATGGGTCTCTGAGGAGACGCCATATTATATTGCTTCCAGAAACCAAGCCCCTGATTTCTGTGGGTGGGTACTCCACAGCAACCCCTACACATCTTGGATTTGTCACTGAAGATAATATGATAAAATGCTAATAGAATGCCTGAGATGTAGGAACACTTCATGGAGTATATCCAATACACTGAACAGCAAGATACATGGGAAATAATCAAAACACAGCATTATTCTTGTCCCCCATTTAGATATTTCACCTGCCACTAGATGAAAACTAAGCAGAACCCATGGTTCGCCCTTGGGTTACAAAGGGTCTTACAGTCACTTTAAGTCACAAAATATAGTTAATTCAAAATCAAATTGCCCAGTTCCAAGAGATTAATCAGCTCTTTCCTCTTTATTCAGACAATGACCTCTCGTTTCATTCCTTAGGTGTTTAGACCATCAGAGTCCATGGGTAGGAGGGAGAGGGAACAATATGTATATTGTATATATAGGAGAGACCAGCAGAGTTGTCATTAGCCTGGTGACTGACAATGTCCCCCAGTAAACCTGGCAGGTGGTTAATGCTGACTCTTGCCCTCCTATAACTTTTGTTGTCTTGATTGCCAGCTGGGAAACATTCCTGGAAACATTCCCCTGATGTGGGTCGTTTACATTTTCCTTTGTCTAGCTGCTTCTCTTCCATCTATCATGTTCCCAATTAGGGCTCTTCTACCCTACTTTTGGGGGGTCCCCTCCCCATTAGCAGAAGTCCTATTGGGAAGAAAAATCTCAGGCAGGCTGCCTTTGAAAACGACCCTGTGCTACTACACAATGATTTCTTAAGCAGGGCACACACAAGATTGATAAATAGTATTTCATGAGGATCTTCCAGGTTCCATTTAGAACGTAAGAAGCCGGAAAGAATGTCACCTCCCACTTTAAGCACAAAGAAAAGCTATATACGAACTTTTCTCAAATCCATCAGAGGACTGAGGTCTCAAGGCAAATAAGCCTGAGATTTAAAGAATGGCAGATGTTTCCAAGGAAAGAGGCAATACAGAAACTGACTTATTTGAGACAGAGCACCTAAAAAAGTCAAGGCCACTGTATAAAGTGGGAAAGAAGATTGCAGCTAATACTCTGTAATGAGTCAACAGTTAAATTTTTTTATAATTTGCTGTTGTCATAAAGCAGGGAGTATAGAACCCATGGAAGTTACAGACACAAGGGAATTTACACCCCCTTACAGGCTTTTCTCCACAGAAAGTTCAAAAAAAATAGATCAGGGTCAAGGGAGGTGAGCAGAGGAAGATTCTTAAGTTAATACAGGTCCAAGAAATAAGAAAAAAAAGCCCTATGTAAGTGGCTAACTCTTGGTTTTGGCTCAGGTAATGATCTCAAGGTCATGAGATAGAACCCCCCCACCCTATCTGGGCTCTGTACTCAGTGGGGAGTCTGGTTGAGATTCTCTCCCTTTGTCTTTCCTCCCACCCTCTCTGTCTCTGTCTCTCTCTAAAAATAAATAAAATCTTTAAAAGAAGAAGAAGAAGAACGAAGCCTTACAGAATAAAAGTCACTGGGGGTGGGGAGGGATGTAAAGCACGGAACCCACCAGGGTACAAGTGTACACCTATTACAGCTGGGGGAAAAGACAAAAAACAAAGATACCCTCTTCTCTTGGGGTAATGGGGGAAGCTCTCTCCCACACAAGAACCACCAAGACACAGGGCAGAGTTTGTCTGCCATGGTGAGGAGGCCAAGATCACTGAGTAGGTTCTGGTCCCAAAACCAAGTAAAAAAAACCTGCCTGAGGCTATGGCTAAACCAAGAAGGCAGAATGTCTCTCCCTTATCAGACACAGTCTAGCAAGTGTCTAATAAGAATCTACTGCTGGGCAAGGAAAACCAGTGGCAAGTCTCTCTGAGGCACAGGCTCATAGGGAAACCCTAAAGCCTACTCCACCCTAACCAAAATAACACTAATTGCCAAAAACCGAAAATAGCTGGTGAATGGATAAACAGTGATTAAACCACAGACTACTACTCAGTAATAAAAAGGAACTAACTATTGAGACACATAACAAAATGGCTAGATCTCAAATGCATTATGCTAAGTGCAAAAAGCCAAAACCAGATTTCCACATACTATATGGTTACATTTTATATGACATTCTAGAACAGCCAAGTACAGGGACAGAGATCAGTAGTTGCTAAAGGCTGAAGGTGGATGTGGGGTGGAGCACAAAGGGCAAGAAGGATTTCTGAAGGGTGATGAAGCAGTCTCTATGTTGTTTGTGGTGGTAGTTACACGTCATGCATTTGTTAAAACTCGGAACTACACACTAACTAAAACAGGTGATTTTATTGCATATAATTTATATCTCAGACATTTAAATTAAAACAAAGAATTTCATTGAAACTAAGAACTTTTGTTTATCAAAAGACACCATTAAAAGAACGAAAAGTCAAAGAAAGAAAGGAAATAGAATTTGCATATGGAATATATAAAGAACACACAAATGAATAAGAAAAAACAGACAGCCGAAATAAAAAAATGGGCAGAAGTCTTGAGGGGACATTTCACAGGAGCAGATACCCTAAGGCTTAATACGCATGTGAAAAGACACTCATCATCTGCTCTGAAGGTAGATGAAAACCTTGTTGAAGGACCACTACACATATAGGAGACTAGCTAAATGTAAAGATTGGCAATATCAATGTTGGTGAGGATGTGGAGCAACTGAAACAAGCGGCAAATTTGTTTAACCACTTTGGAAAACTATTTGGCAGTATTTACTAAAGCTAAATACCCCTGATCTGGCAATCCCACTCCCAAGTATAAATGCTATAGAAATGAGTGCATATGTCCGACATAAGACATGTTCAAGAGTGTTCACAGGCCTACTATCATAATAGCAAAAACCTGGAAATAACATGAATTTCTATTAACATGATAACCTACAAATAATTGTGGTATATGTCTACAATGAAATACTACCCAGCAATAAAGAAAACCAAATAATTGCAACATGCAACAAGAATGAAACTCACAGATATGATGAGTGAAAGAAGTACAAAAGAGATATATGTACGATTTGAGTTATATGAAATTCATGAATAAGAAAAACTAATTTATAGTGATGAATTTAGAATAGTGGTTATGGGTGTGGGTAGTATATGCTAGGAAGAGACATGATGGAACCTGAGCTGCAGGAAATGTTCTCTTTTCAGCTCAGTGGTTTTTACATGCAGCAGTATAAATTTGTAAAATTTCATTCAATCACCCACTTCCCTTCTCTGTTCTTTACTGCATGTTTACCTCAATGCAATACAATAAAAAGAAAATATTCCCCCACAGCACAGCTAAAAGGCTAATGATACTGTGCACAAAATGAATATAAACAAGACTCTGGAGTATATAGAGACTTGTCCTTGTCCCTGACCCATGTGTGTTTCTTATCGACTGCAGGTGGAGAAGAAATGTGCATTAGCTCTATAGTCCATGGTAGGCAGTTCAGGCTTGGTGCAGCTTCTGTTCCTTCTAGGTGTCAAGCTTATCCAATGCCCAATATAGTATCTTTTTGTTTAAAAAAATATGGAATAGGCATTTCTCCTCTAATGTTTTAAAAGAGACATTTCTTTTTACATGCTGTTAATTGCTGTGGTATAACTATTAATTGCAGGTTATTTTTTTTTCTACCAATAGAATAAAACTTCTTGTGCCATCATTCTCCTACCATGTCATTTATCAATAAATAAAGATTTGCAGGGGTGCCTGGGTAGCTCAGTCGGTTAAGCATCTGCCGTTGGCTCAGGTCAGGTTCTCAGGCTCCTAGGATCAAGCCCCGAATTGGGCTCCCTGCTCAGTGGGGAGCCTGCTTCTCCCTCTGCCTGCTGCTCTCCCTGATTGTGATCTCTCTCTCTCTCTCTGTGTCAACTAACTAAGTAAAATCTTTTAAAAAATAATAAAAATATATAAAGATTTGTGTACTTTACTGTAGATATGCTGTTCCTCAACACAATTTGTTTAATAGTCCTGACAAGGAAGGCTATATCGGGCCTTCAGGACTCATGCACCAGTGAGCAGTCTGGGGAATGAAATCAGCCATCTTTGTTTTCAATTCTGCCGTGGAGGCAGCTCCTCTGGCTTCCTGTGACCATGAAACACTAGTCCTCAAGCTCCAACTGCAGGGGTTCCCCACTAACTTCACCAAGCCATCCCGGAGACCCCCTCATTGGGTCTGAGGAAGAGGAATGCCCCATCCACTCCACCTTTCACTTTGCCCATCAAGTTCCCCCCAACATATCTCTTCACAAATCTTCTCTCCTCTTCATAATTTTACCTTTTTTGACATCTTTAATGTGAATGAGAGGTCCAAGAGTGAGCTCGAATCAGACGTTACTCTATAGTTACTTTCTGCATTTTCATCCAGCACCTCTCACGTAGCATTTGTAGTTCGTGTTGGATATCGCTCAATCCAAATTTGAACATTGACCTGTCACGGTAACTTCCACGTGAACCATAAGAAATTGTTGATTGTTGACTACTGTTGATCTAAAACAACTGCAATTTCATATGGTTCCAACTAACAGTTTTATTCAAAATAAAATTTTTAGAGAAACTGAACTTCAGGTTGGGTTTGAGCAAACAGGACAGTGGGTTCTTAAATGAATGCCAGGGCAAATCCCTAAACACCATCAGCAGAGCGTCTCACCTTGGCTTTCAGATGAGCACACAGTTCCTGCTGCTTTCTCCTGTCCTTAGCCAACATGTCCTCCATTGCATGTGTTGCACAGGCCTCAGTGAGGGTCAGCACAGCCTTCTGGATTAAGTCTCTCCTGTTCTTATTCCAATTTGATATCAGGATCCTTCGCTGCTCCCTGGCAAAGCGATATTGATCACAATATTTCTCATGTTCCACCTGAAAAGAAAACAGATGGCAAACACTTATGAAGCTGAGACTATGTTTTATGTCATTGCTACAAAAAATGAATAAAGTGAATTATAACCAGTAATTTTGAAAAATCGGAGACAAACATCTTAACAGTGAATGCAGCAACCAGGACCAGGTACAATTCCCCAAGTTCTGAGCCTGTGGCTAACTGGTGACTAAGGACCAGTTGTTTAATGTTTGTAAGCCCTAAAACATCTTTCATGTCTACATGGCAGTGAATTTATTCACAGAAAGTATTACTTCCCTTGTATATAATTTCAAAAATATTCCATCTGTAATTTAGTTTGGGTATTTTAACAATTACTTCAAGTGCTTCACTTAGACACATGCTAATAAACATAAATTGCTACCACAATCCCCAAAATTCAGTTTGCCCTTGATTACTGATATATTCAGGTTTTAGGATGTCTGAACTTAAAGGAATCACAGCAATCATATTAGTTCTTCCCATCCTGCAGTCCTGATGGACTGATATTCTCACATGGGTACTGGTAGTACATGATATTCTCACATGGGTACTGGTAGTTCCTGTTGGCAGTGAATCCCAACCATGAGAGATCTCAGAGTCTTGAGGGAAAGTCTTGAGGGGAAGAACAGGGATGGAGATTGCCTCAGTCATTTGAAAAGTCTTTGTAGGTGATTCTGAAATGTTCTTTATATGAAGTTGTGTCTTCTGAAACTGAGAGCCACTGATCCTCTAATTCTTTATCTTGACAGTATAGACCACATCTCTGAATTTATACGTTATTTAACCCCTAAGTGGTGTGAGAAAAGAATCTAGCAAGAAGGATAAGGTTGTTCTAAGATAATAATCCAGGTATGGTTTGATGGTATGGTATGATGAAACAGGCTATGGATTCAATTAAACCAAATATCAGCTGCTAAAATATGTTGCGGAAACTTCTGAGCTTTGTTCCCAAAAGTCAAAAATATACTAAAAATCTGTCAAACACTAAGAAAGGAAGCATATACCATGCAGAAATGCATACTAATCAACCCATTGTAAGAAGTAAATACAAAAATCTTCATCATGTTAATAGGTAAATACAAAAAGTTAAAAATCATAACTGGTCACAGAAACAAATAGAATCAACAGGGAATAAAAAGAAAGATCTAATTTAATAAATTAAAACTTTAAAAAAGCTAGAGTGAATTATTTATTATATAACATGTTTTTTATATAATAGGTATCTGCTATAAAATAAAGATCAAAATTAAAACAAATAATCATTTGGTGGGGGAATCGGGGATAGGATGGTCATACTAGATGTGTGACCTTTGCTTCAGTTTCTTTATCTGTAAAATATAATAAAAATAGTACTCTTTCATCCACTTCTGTGTGTTATAGAAGTTTACTTATGACTGAAATAAGGTAAATTCTATATACGCGTCGGTACTATTGTTACCTGCTTATTTAAAATAATTACAAAATGCAGAGTATGTGATAATATTTTATAGCATGGCCCATTTAAAAGTTTACATGTGTTTGTTTACATATATGTTTTAAGATGAGTCATTGTAAAGTTAATTGACGACATGGTAACTTCTGTTTTCTTGTCTTTGTGGTCTTATGAACTAAAGACCCTTCTCAGGAAAATTTCAGTCATGACTCTGAGTTCTAATTTGGGGCATTTGTATTTCAGAGCCATCTAGGGTGATCAAGTGGAGATGTTGTTGTGGGGATGATATAAGTAAGCACCAGCCCCCAGGGCAAGTGCTACCTTCCCCATGACTAGAGGGGCTGGGATGTGGGAGGCTCTGCAGATAGATGGGTAGCAGGCACCCCACTTTCAGGGAAGAGTCAGAGATTGCAGAACCTCTGAGGGCGGGCAGGTGAATGCACAGACACCTAGAGGTCAATTACGGGCAGAGCAACCCAGGAAGTCACAGTAAAGATCTCTCGGGCAGGTAAGCATAGAAGAATGAATGTTGCCTGAAGGGTTCTCTACATTCTTATGTACCATATGACTTGAAAAATGGGAGACTTTCAACCTATAACTCTATTATTTGCTAGAGTGTAGGAAAAAAAAAATTTTAGAGCACCATTCTAAAAATACAAATTTTGCCTAGTAATTATTGACCACTAAAGCAATTTAACTTGCTGTTATATAGGGTCCTGTACTCACCAAATCATGCCTAGATCTGTGAGGAAAATATCTTTGTAACATGTTCAGATACAGAGTTCTTCTGTTATAGAGCTCTCCAGGATACTGATCCAAAACAGCCTGGTAAATCCAGTGGTCTTCTTCACTTAACTGGAAGTTTCTAGAAGCAACAAAAATGTCACAACACATTGTTAAGCAATCACCGAGTTTGAGGGAACTCAAACTGCTCAAACTATTAACAAATGGCACTGATTATATAAAATGAAGTCTGGGGTTGGTTTTTTAAAATACATTATAGCCAAACTATATGTCTGCTATAGAAAATGTTCTAAATCCTAATATGATGGGTTCTTCAATCCTTTATTGCTCTTGCCACAAGTTCCAGGCATAATTTCAAGAAGTTTGCAAAGTGACATAATATTTTTAAAATATTTATTCTATCCTCCCCATAAGAATATTTAAAAAATCACAATCAATGAGTGAAATAAATGAACATTGGGAAATAAAACATACAGACTAAAATGGAATTTTTATTCCTGGAGGAAAACACAAAAGTAGACAGTTAAGTGAACAATTTTACAAAGGAAATTAAGGCCTGAGGAAAGAACTTATTTAAGGTTTCACTTTAAAACAAGTCTAAAATTATCATTAATTTACTCTCTCAACTTCTCATGTGGTGGGATTAAGACTAGATAATGTTAGTGAGAAGATTACCAATGGCATTAGATTTCAGATCACTGAAGAAATCATTTGTAAATAGGACCTCTTCAAGGCCCTACCTAGTAACATGTCCACCCTGGTCCAGAATGCCTTTTTCATTTCAGGGCATTCCTGGGCACTGGCCCGGTTTGTGTTTTACATAAGGTATTAGCAAAGCCCTATGCAGAGTGGAAAGGGTGCGATATCAGCTTAAACTCTAAACTGAATTAATGCCTCTTTATTATTCTGGGTTTATTTGCATATTGTTATTCCTGTTTAATAAATTGGAATAATGAAATACAGGTGCAATCAGAGTGAATATTATTAGCAACAAGTATCTCTTTGATCCAAGATGGAGACTTGCTATTGTTTATTTCTACTATATCAATGATCTTCTACTTTAAAGTTAATAGTGCAATTCAACGAATTCATAATATATCTTCTATGCCCTTGAAAAATACTTGACAATTTAAAATGAATAAAAACCTCTTTAAATCAGTGATACTAATGGGAATTCCACTGTCCTCATATCATACAAAGTTACCTGGTTTTTGTAAAGTGTTTCACTATTCTGGTAAGTAGCAAGAAAAAAAATTCTCTTTCAAAAAAGATAATCTTCACTAACAGCTCTATAATGGGAAGAAAAAGAGGCATGGAGGTATTTTACCAGAAGAAGCATGCTCCACAGTTCTTCTGTATGACATAATCTATTGCAGAGAAATAATTTGAGATGAGTTCATTCATTGAACACACTGAGTGTATTCCTTCTGTCTGAATCAGGTATGAATGTATAGACATTCAAACAAAGCATTTCATATAGGGGTATTAAGCCTGTGGAAACACTTGCCTAAGTATACTTGGCATTTAGAACACCCTCAAGACTTCATGCGTAATACCTAAGGTCCTCTCTCGAACTCATTTGGTCACAATAACAAAAATGCATTTTAATAGCAAAGTCAGCCACATAAATTCTCTATTACTACACCACAAGTAACAAAAAAAAAAAAAAAATAGACCTGCGGTCCATGTCTTCATTTATGCTTTTAAACTATCTCTAATCACAGGGACTTGAACATGGTTTGACTTTCCACCTTTATTTAATTACAAATGTGGATGTATGTGGCGGGGTATGCTGAGGAGGGGAAAATAACAGATTTGAGGTCAATAAATTGTCCATTTATTTTAAGTTGTCATCCATCTATTTGGTGGATGCTGTTGGTGCCATGCTAGATCTCCCTTACTAGCTAGAAGTCCAATCACCAAGATGCTGATAATTCACAGATGCCCCTGTTTCTCTGCAGAATTGCCCCAGACCAAATGGGAAATGCCTCACCCAGGAGGCTTCTCTTCCCACCCATTTTTGAGGGCAGCTGCCACCAATGTTTGGCTGATATGGGGGAATAGAAGGTCAACCCACTTGCCTCACGATGGAACCAACTCTGAGAACCATTCATGCTCTAGAATTTCACAGTGGAAGCAAACTGCAGGCTGTTTCCACTGAGCTCACCTCCATGCAGAACCATTTTTCCCTCCTCTTTCTTTCTTTCCTTACCATCCTTCTCCTGAGAGCACTGCCCAACAAATCACTTGTTCTTACAATTCCTATCTCAGCTTTGCTTCTATAGAACCTGACCTAAGATAGTATTTAAGCCATCTTACCCATAATTTTCAAAAAATAGTTTTAATCCTTTGGTAAATGGAGAAGTACTTCTAAGCTAATTGCTTTGATGATCTCTCATATTGAATGGTGGTGCAAGATTTCGGCTACACTCAAAGAGAAAGTGCAAATGGCAAACATTTACAAAAATGCTTTTCAAATAAAAGCACACATTAAGCAGTGTGCATTGCTATAAATAAATATAGCAGCAGGAGAATCTGTGGCACTGAGTGCATTTTTACGTATTGTGCGAATGTATTAATTACGTGTCATTATAGTGACAACATTAAAACCACTTAAACATATGAAATGATAATATAACATCACAACTATTTCAAACCAAGTATGCCACAAAAGATCACATCCATTTTGCTCTTCTTATTGATTTTAGAAACCTCACATTTCAACAACTTTTTCTAATTACCACAATTATGCAAACTGTAAGTCATTTTTCTAGTATACATAGAAGAAAAGCAAAAAACATACTTTAAAATGATACATAAATACTCACAACATTATTATTTTAGAGTATTTATAGCAGTTTTTAGAGCCAAAGGCTTAAATTTTGAGGCAAATATTCATACTGGCAATAGTAATAGCACAGTCATACATCTCCATTAGGATGCTGTTTGTGAGGGAGAAAGCCCCCATCATTATATATTTACTGAGTCTTCTGGATAGTAAAAATCTAAGAGGAATATTCAAATATAATGGCCTCTTCAGAATAACAAAGTAGCTGTTTTCTATTTAGCCTCTAAAATAAAATCAAATTTAATAAATCTGAATTTCTAAATTCCAATCTGGACATTTTTCTTTCCTAATCAAACATCTTTTCATTGTACAGAAAAACCTATGTAAAATAGCTAAGCTCTATAAAATAACTAAGGTTAGCTTTTTTCTTTTTTTAGTTTTATTTATTTATTTGACAGAGAGAGAACACAAGCAGGCAGAGTAGCAGGCAGAGGGAACAGGAGAAGCAGGCTCCCCACTGAGCAAAGAGCTTGACCCAGGGCTCCATCCCAGGACCCTGGGATCCTGACCTGAGTCAAAGGCAGTTGCTTAACCAACTGAGCCACCCCGGTGCTGCTAAGGTTAGATTTTACCTTCAAAGTTCCTGTTTAATTTAATTGCTTTGCTGGTGATTCCAATGACAGAAGTAGCTAAGTTATACAGCTATTAAAAGCTCTTCTAATCATTTACCTACTTTCTGAATTTGAAAAGTAACTCCATAATTTTAAAAAATTTAAAGAAGGCTTTAAAATTATCCTAAACTTTTGTAATTTTTAAATTATCTTTAGAGAAAAAAATCTTTGGCAGGTCTGTGCAATTTCTATTCTTTTTGTCCATCCAAATTTTCTGATTTAAAATGTTTCATAGTTTTCATCTTTATAATAGCATACCAAGATTTTACAGTTTCTAGGCTTACTGGGCACTTCTAACACTTCAGGAAATTCCAGACTGCAGAAGTGTAAAATATCTACAGTTCAGTCTCCACCTACCATCCCCGCCCCATAATGAAGTCCCATGATATAATTTTATCATGATATCCCAGGATGTGAGACAAAATGGGTAATTCAGAAAAGAATGACAGCTATAAGAATCTAACTACACCAAGGCTGACTGTCCCCCTAATTCTACCTGTTGAATCATTCCAAAAATTCTAAACTGACTTACAATTAACTTAGCCACTGATTTTCTTCTTAGTCATGCTTAAGTCATTTCCTTAAGGTTTCGGCTCTATGACATCAACACACATTTGTGGGGGGCGGGGGGAGAAGCAGAGAGGCAACCAATGGTGGCAAACAAGGTGACAAGTACTTTAACAGCAGAGACAAGTTTATGAAATTAACCATTGTGTTCACAAATGGCTGAAAGTTGTTTTATAACTTTCTCAGAGTGAAGGGAGATTTCCAGCAAAATGGTAGTACCTCCTGAAGCTGCCTGATACATCTAATAGCTAGCTCAAGATTGGCAACTGGCCACAGTGAATCTGGCCTGGAGAAAAACTCTTAACTCTTCTAGTGTAACAGTGGCAGGAGACATCTAGTGCTTCTCTCCACTAAGAAGTAGGATTGCAAGGAAACACTGGTGGATTAAGGTGAGTAAAAGATAGCTCTGATGTAATCGGCTTTTTGGGCTGTATTGGGTCTGACCCTCTAGGAGATATAACTTGACTCTACTTTTTAATGTTGTCTTTCCAAATCAGACCCAAACACTGAATCTAATTAGCCTGATTCCTGAAACTCTCACCCCACCCTACTACCACACCACTCCACTCCCATTATCCAAATACAAATCTCTCTTTGGTTTCTGGCCGGGTTTACAGGGGGCTCCTGAGCCTTAGAGTTACTTCTGACCAACAGAATCTTCTCCTTGGATTTTGTTTGAGTAAGTATATTGTCTTTCCAGAGACCCATTCTTACTTAGCTCTCACTTCCAGGGTCCTCAGGCTCTGCCCAGTCTGCCTACTTAGGTGGAAGCTGATGGCTAGAATAAGGTAGGTTCTCACAAGTATGGCCCTCACTTCTCAGCCTTTTGGCTAAGATCAGTTGTAGATGTATGGCCAAAATCCACTGAATTAAAGAATCAACAACAAAATTGCCTATAGGGTAAAGCCAGAACTTACATCAGCATCCAAAGCCACAGTCTCCTGAGAGCCACAGGAAAGTGAAAATATGGCAGGGCTCTAAAATTGATGACTCCAGAATTTTTCCAGAAGGGTTTAGGGGCATGAATCTGGCCAGAAGAGGAGGTTAAATGATTTATACGGAAACTGCAATTGCTATTGATATGGCAAGCACACT